CATGGTGAGCAAGAAAGCTCGATCACCCCGTCTGCAAGCATCTTTGTCGCACTCCGCACGGAATGTACTGCCGCGTACTCTCCGGAGGCGCCACTGTTTCACACGGACGGGTTGGTCGTCCGTTTTTTGATTTTATGCTTCATGTGTGGCACCACACCCGGAGGCAGCCTTCGTTGAACAGATCTGGGTAACGATCAAGTACCTGGACAAGCTGTTCACGTTGGACTGACGACAGGTGAGCAAGATCCACCCGGGGAACACTAACTGCCCCTGCTGATGAGGGGAGTTCCTCGTTCTCGAAAGAACATACCGGGAAAACTCAAACTCGTCCGTGTTATAGCCAAAGTCATTAAGTCCGTGTGCAAAATCAAACCGGTCCTCGAAGTCCGCCATCAGACTATCCGGTTCGCTTCCATCATCGATGGGAGTCGAAAAAGCCATGCCTAAAGCTCCTCGACTATCCCCGGAGGATGAGCCTACATCTTCCGGGTTGACGCCGGAATCCTGGTCCATGGATTCCGCGTCGTATTCGAGACGATTAAGTGAAACCTCCACGATCGCAGCATAGCAGAGGACGAATCCTTGCTCGATCTCAACCGGAACTGTCTGATCGTTGACGACCCAAACGTCAACCTCCGGTTGGGAGAGGTCCACCAACGAGCGAGGTACCAGGACCTTGGCTGTGTCGCTCTCAACACAAGCCAGTCCGCCCTTCAAGCCGTTCACGAGGCATCGCACGAATCGCCCCGCGCCGAGGGGGACAGGTGACTCTCCGCGCGCATCTCATCGCACCTTCCCGGTCTCCGCCGCTCGCACTACAGCAACGTAGCACGGCCTCCGGTTCGTGGTATGTCAGGATGCCGAGGACCCGGCACCCGAGAACGAAACCCCGAGTTGGACTCCATTAAAGCTAGCAGAGCTGGCCCCTGAAACAGGGGAGAGGTTCAACTTAAAATTGAACCTCCGCAGCAGGTCCACGCCTATCAGCACCTCTGCTGGAAACCTAGTGTCATCGTCCACCACGAACACCGAATGCCGGCATTTACAGGCTCGGGAAAACTTAAACTCAAGGGTTGCCCTGCCCTTGATGTCCAACGCGGCCCCAGATGCCCCCCTAAGGCCGCGTGGGTGCGGTGAGAGCGGGGGTGTTGGAAATCCTCCTGAAACAAGACTCCTTCACCACCGTTGCCTCACTTCCCGAGTCAAGAAAGGCTAAGACCTTAGTCCCAGCAACCACACAATTCAACAGCGGCCGCCCCGCCTGAATCTGTGCCTCGGGAAGCTCTGGTTCCGTGGAACTGTCGCTCCCCTCGGCGCCCGCCATCATCATTGTCCCTGGCAGTGGCTCGTTGTGGTTGCGGTTGTGTTCTGTCGGGCGGTGCCCTACGTTGTTCTGCCCGAAAAAAGCACCGCTCAGCCACATGCCCTCGGCGGCCACACCGGGTGCACTGATTACCCTCGCACCGCACGACACTCGGCGTCATGCGTAGTCACCTGATGGTAGGGACACCAGCGTCGGGGTTCTCGAGTGCGTACGGGTAACTCTGCTAGGGGATCAACCGGAGGGGAAGCTGCCGGAGATCGACCCTCGCGAGGAGTAGAAGAGCGAGGTTTAGGCCCTGCCTCGCTCGAGAAACTGACCAAGGGTTTCTACCCGCCCGGCATAGTGCCGATGGTGCCAGACTTTTTGGGCTGCTTCGACCACCGGTAAAGTGGCTGATCCTCTATCAACAGGAGCTTTTCCCGCAGCCAGGGTGGGAGTCCCTGGAGAAAAGTTCTCCTCATCAGAGGTTCAGCTGGCCCAAGTTCACCAGGATAGTCGCGCATGCCTTGATATACCATGGTCTCGACCGCGAGATAGAAGTCCCTAGGGGAAGTGTCGCCGAGTACGTACGACCCCAAATGCCGAAGGTACTCCATCGACGAGCACGTCCCCCGTAGACGTTGCCGAAGGGTTTCCTTAAACTCGTCCAGGTCCCAATGCCGTCAAAAACTGGGGAGTTAATGACTATATCCGCAGTCCCCCTACAGCTACCACGGGCGGCACGGATCAGAGCCTCATCCGTCCCATAAGGATGGGCTTGCTCGACGTGCCGCAACCAGGTTTCCAACTCCTGATTCCTCCGAAGAGGCTGGCTAGCTGGAACTTCTGCCCGGTAAGGCGGAATCGGGTCACGCAGGGTTATACCCTGATCTAGGGGACGCGGATTGACGGGCGCGCTGAGACGAGTGGTCAGTCGTGACCGCATGCACCCCCGCTTCTACCTGCGATGCAGAGGCCGCAGCTGGTGAATGAATGTGTGGTTCAGATGCCCTGGGCTCCAGTAATCGCACGATATTGGCGTACTGCCCTTCCAAGGCACTGAACCGAGAATTCAGCCGTTCGAATTTATCAACCAGCTCCTCATACATCGAGAGCGAGAGGTGGTCACGGGGTTCTAGCCTTTGCCCCGAAATCAAAGATTGAGCGTGATCTCGAGGAAACTCGGGGCCTCAAGAAGGGTGTTTGCAGAGGATCCCGAGGACTCATTAGTGGGTTCTCCTTGGACGGTATTGCGTGTGCGAGGCATTCTGCGTCCCAGCACTTGCTCTACAACCCGTTACTTGGCGTGCGATAGACTTGCACAAAGGCTTGACCAGACACTTTATAGAAAGACTGTTTCTCCCACCGCTGCCTACCAAAAAGACAGTTGTAGCGGGGCGTAGACCCAGTAGACTTTAAGTGATCTGGTTGAGTCCTGGCTCAACCGAGAATATTGAGTTCTTTGCTCAAGGAAAGATTCGTTTGCAGTGAACAGATGTAAGGTTCCAGGCCTACGGCACGCTGCCACCACCCGATTAGTAGGTTCGGGAACCGTGTATGTCGTGTAAGTGGGTGTGGGTGTTGTATCAGAGAAGGGTGGAAAGAAAGTACAGAATGTGTGTGCTGAATGTTGGATGTGTAAGTGTGTAGATGTGAAAAGGGAGATAGCGTAGGCTGAGCGTCTGCGTGGACGTGTTTAGAAGAAAAAAGCAAGATCATAGGATTCTTCTTCTTCCCTTCGGTTTGAGCATCCGCCCGCTGGGAGCGGGAACACAGGTATAGCTAAATGAATCTGTTCTTTTGATATCAGCTTAATATTCTCTGATTTATCTAGCCTTTTTACAGCCTTTCAAGGTTGCGTGATGTCAGAGCAACCAGCGATGTGCTGTTTAGGAGACCCGAGTCCGAGAAAGATTTAGGCATCTAACCTTGGTCAGAACCAGAACTTTAGTGGTGGTATAAATTATTCTGACTGGAGTTGAGTAAAAGCTCTAAGATGGTACGATGTTTATTTAGAGAGCAAGTTACACTCACTAGGGAATTACAGGCATTTTTCAGTCATGAGAAGTAGACAAAGGTGTGTGCATCACCAATTTATCACAGCGGCGGTGATGCACGAGAAATCAACACCAGATAAACTTACCACGATATAAAAAATGTCTTCCCTAAGTTGGCGTCCCAACTCCAGAAGTACTGTTATTAGGGGGTCAGCATAAAAACATCCAAGTCCCTAAATTACGTTAAATTGTTAACATCCAACCCAAATGGATGTTAACTGTAAACCAAAGCTAATGCTGACGGATACCTAGTAAGAGTACTTGTGTGCAAAAGAATTAAGAAATAGATTAATAAGAAGGCTGAAAAAGTCAAGGAAGGGACTATTCACGAAGACTGCCTGAACACCCACAAGGTCAGACAGGAATCAGCCGAAACAAACGACAACAACAACAAAAATCAAGTATCATGTGATACTAACTGCTCGTTATCAGGAGATATGGAGCAACAAAAGTCTGTCTGATCACCCACAAGGTCAGGCAGAAATCAACAGAAACATAACAAACAAAATATGTAAAAAGATCCTGATAACGATCTTTTATCCCCGGAGGGACGGATCCTCAAGCAGGGACGATAGGAAACATTAACATTAACTTTTAAAAAATATATATATGTACAGGAGGTATGACTCCTCAAGTACGAACGAAATACAACGAAGTAATGACAAGTCTTAAAAAGGGAAAGTCACACTGGAGGTGTAATCACAGAGACTGCTTAATCGCCCACACGATCAAGCAGAAATCAACAACCACGCATTAAGCGAAACAAAACAATTCACGATAAAGTACGTAATGGTACTTAAAAAGATCTTTATTCCAGGAGGTACGGATCCTCAGGCAGGAATGAAAGGAAACTAAGTAATAACTTAGTTATAAAAATGAAAACACTGGAGGTACGGATCCTCAAGCAGTGTTTCTTTAAATCACTTGGTCCTAATGCTCTCAAAACACTGGGAAATACGCAAAAATGTCACGGGACTTCACGAAAGAGTGCACCCTGCAGATGAATACATAAGTAAAAAGAGACTCCACACACAACCAGCAACCACTTAGCTTTGAGGAGATACTCAGCAGTCCTGGTAAATCCGTGCGTGAAGTATATCCCAGGGTAAATCCGAGCGAGAGCACAACACAGGTAAAATTGTTACCGCGAAGGACCAAAGTGCGGGACAGAGGTCAGGACCGAAGTTGTCTTCCTTCCCCTTACCACGAGTACTTATACCCCGAAAGAAACCCCCAGGCCAAGCCCCAGGCATGGCGCGAAAGAAGAATATAGGCAAAAGAGGTGCCTAAAGACCCAGCCGATAGTTCGAAAATCCAAACAACCAGACGAGAGAGGGAAGGGGAAAAACAAAAAAGAAGCAGGGTAACGACCGTCACCTCCTTCGGTGGTTATCGTGAGAATTTGGAGACGTCGGCAAGAGGAAAGAACATTAGAAAAGATAAATACAGGAAAGGATACGGAGAAAATCCGATGATAAACTGTGCTTTTCGGCCATAACATATATACAATAATTCGGTTAAAAATAAATAAATAAATAGATGTTTTAGCTTGGCGACTTCAACTGGAGATGATATCATCCTTCGATTCGGGACGGACGCAGCCGTACACTACAATAGGTATTTTGAACCCTAAGGGATGTCTAAAATAGGTTCTTAAACATAATTGTCGAAGATGTTGTAATTCTATCTGAGTCTCTGGAATCTGTGGTGGCGGCTGTCGATGCATTCAGCAGTGAGGTGAAGCCCATGGCTTTGAAGTCTCCTGGACGAAGAGCAAGACCCAGGATTTTGAGGGCCTGTTAGGGGAACCTGTTCAGGCGATACATTCATACCATGAAGACGTTTAAGTCACACAGAGCTTTACATATAGACATGGTAAATTCGTTGCATTAAACCTTCCTTTCTCTGCTTTAAAATCCATTCAAAGCATAGAATGAGGCAATGTTCTATAGAAAATATCGAGAATAATGGCAACGACTGAAAATTAGACCTAAAATGAGCTGTTCATTTATTTAAAGAAACTAAAAGCGTTTTAAGCAGGGGAGCGCTTGGCAAGAATTCTTGCCAAGCGCTGTACCGTTCCCTGCTTAAAACGCTTTCCAAGGCAGGCAGGCCCTCTTCAGTGATGCCAGACATCTGGAAATGTCTTTTTATAAAGTACAAATCATAACAGTCCTTGATGAGCATAGAAATATCAAAATAACACACGAAATATACATACTTGGGCTTTAAAAGCAATATTCCCACCAACAATCTCGGAAAGAGATAACCTATGCACAAATCGAGGGTGGAGTTTATTTCACCTGCGGTTGGCAACAGTTCGAGCGCGTAATTCAAATCAACTGACAAGCTAGCGCCGCATCAAAATGACAGAGAAGTAAATAAATCTATCCAAACATCTTAACAAAGCGCTATATTTTCTCCTATATTCATATAAAGTGACTCTAAAA